GAGAGAGAGAGAGAGAGAGAGAGAGAGAGAGGGAGAGAGAGAGAGAAGGGGATGGGGCAGTAGATACTAACCTGCTAACAAGGGAACCCCCATTTGGAGAAGTAACAGCCTGGACCAGATTGATGATGGTGCAGTCAGGAGCTATTGTGGCGAAGAAATCAGAATCGCCGAGACGAAACCTAAAAAAGTAACAGTTCGTTATGTACTGGATCCATGGGAGCAGATCTTGAGCAAGGTTCACAACATTCATTTTGATGGCATCTATGAAATATGCTGTGCTGTGCTGTGCTGTGCTGTGCTGTGCTGTGCTGTGCTGTGCTGTGCTGTGCTGTGCTTTGCTGTACTGTATGCTATGCTATGCTATGCTATTCTATGCTATGCTATGCCATGCTATGTTATGTTATGATATGCTATGCACGCTACGCTACCGTAATATAATTTCAATTTATTTTTATGGTATTGTATTGCTCAGTGTGGTACTCTACTAACAAAAATAAATAGTATTTTTTTTAAAGAACAACGATAATACAACAGCAACAGAAACATCAACCACAGACTGTGGCTGACACACATGAATAACTCTGAATAACATTTAAAAAAAAAAAAAAAGAAAATCCAAACCCTACTTGTAGGCGTCCGTCTGGAAAGTTTGACCAGCAGGTCCGTATGAGTAGGATCCCACTTTCTGGGCTGTGGAGGGCACGCAGAACCTTGGAAACCAAACGAGAGGGATTTGACCGCACGACTTCTGGGCCTCGTCGATGGCAATGGATTTGTCGGACTTAGTGATTACCCAAAACTCGATGTTTTTGATTCCGCTTTCATCGAAGATGACCATGGAGCCTTTGCTTGAAAGTCGAGTCTTGGGGAAGTCAAGGTTGAATTTCGCATTAATGGATCTCCTGGTGAATTGAAAGCAAATATATGTATGTATTACGTGTGTCTGTGTTAAGAACATTAAAGAAAGAAAGAAAAATTTAAAAAGAAAGACAGAAAGACAGAAAGACAGAAAGACAGAAAGAAAGAAAGGAAAGAAAGAAAGAAAGAAAGGAAAGAAAGAAAGAAAGAAAGGAAAGAAAGAAAGAAATGTACTGATTGAATGAATTCAATTAAATAATAAAAGATTAAGTACATGTAGTCGATTGAAAAAAAAACGAATTAATCAAGTAATGAATTTGAAAACCACAGGATAAAAAAAGAAGCCAAAAAAAAAAAGAAAGAAAGAAAATCAAACCGTAGATCAAGTTGTTGTTGTTGATGATGCTGCTATTGATGGTGGAAGTGGTCGTGGTGGTGGGTTAGGTGTGTGTGTGTTTTGGAAGGGGG